AATTCCTCCCGAACAGGGCCATAATCTTTGAGTTGTGTCTAGTAAGACACGACTTTTGACTTAATATAAATAAGACCACGATGTTCTAAAGAATTCACTTCATCTTCCATATTCTGCCATGTACTCGTAACATTCTACATTACTCCTTGCATTATAGAAAGTAGTATAAAAACATTTTCTGTTTTGTCGTTTCTTGTGATTCGAAGTACTATCATCTCAAGAAGAAATTATTGTAGTTTGGAAGACGATTGCAATTCCATTATCGACACTTTGTGAGGGCAAATTTTTCTCAAGAACAAAAAGTTCTTATGTTTTTGGTTTTTTTTTTTAATTTATTTAATGAGAAAATTGTACAGTTACCATTTTACCCCTCCTGATTTTTGATTTCTAGGGTCAACTAACGATTTTCGTGGTCAAACGGACGGAAACTGTCAATGAGGTTTTCTCTCTAGCACTTCAATTGATGTGAGATTTTCAATTTTAGACCCTAGGTTTGCAAACTACACCACTACCTCTTCATGTGCCACCAAAGCCAGAGTATTAGAGCAGGCATCTGTCAAGAAACCCAAGTTTTTAACAAATCGAACAAGAACCTTAAATGTGCATATTAAACCAAGAACCCTAGATCGCCAACAAGAGCTCTAATACCGCTATTATGAAATTGGGGCTTTATCTCGCAATCAACAATGGCAAATCGCAGCAAACTAATAATGTGAAAACAAAATAAGAGCACAAGAAATCCTACCACAAAGGCCCGAGTTCGCCCAACCTTTACCTACTTCTCGTTGAAACTCCACTCAAAGTGGATTACAGCTTTGTTCCACTTAAGATTTAAAATAAGAGTACAAACCATATCAATCCTCATTTAGATACAATACAGCTTTCGTACAAAGCCAATAAAGACCTAGAGCATGTTTGGTACAGATTTTCATTTTCTACAGTAAATCAATTCTCATTTTCAACCACACATTCTTCAATAAAATAATATTTTCTATCACATCAATACTTTTTTCTTCTTTTTCAACCACACCTTTCCCATATTTTCTGAAGTAAATCAATTCTCATTTTCAACCACACATTTTTCAATAAAATAATATTTTCTATCACATCAATACTTTTTTCTTCTTTTTCAACCACACATTTCCCATCATATCACTATTCAAAAATCAATTTTTCCTCTAAAAATCCCTACCAAACACACTCCTAATCTAACAAAGTATTTGATAAATTAACGCATAATTATACTCCTTTTTGGAATAACGAAATTCGACCCAACTAGCATCTAGAGGGGGTGAATAGGTGTTTATGAGGAATTTAAATTTACTAATTAATAAATGCAATAAGTCACAGTTATTAATTAATTTAGATGAATTCACATGCACAATTATCCTATGTTGAATTACCGTAGTTAATAAATTACTGAAAAATAAATAACACTTGAAAATTGTTGACGGAACTCCTATGAATCAATGAGAACTCATCGTTCTCCAACAACCGGAACTCCGGTCACCTTTCTTGATCTTCAGAACTCTGACGATGTTATGAAAGTATGTGTTTTGGTGTTTGGTTTATGTGAAGTTGATGTTTTTCAATGCTATGAAGAAATCAAAACGAAGGTTGAACTATTAGAATGATATGTAGGAAGTAATCTCTTGTTTTTCTCAATGTTCAACACCCATTTTTCGAATGGAGGCGTGGATATATATAGTGTAGAGGTTTTGGGAGGTATGGGCCAGATAAAAACCTTGAAAAACGCAAATTAAGTTTTCTCGGGATACACTGTCGCTCGAGCCAAGTCCAAGCGACAAGCAAGCGACGATGTGTCACTCGAGCGAGGTCTAGGCGATGGCTAGCGAAATTGCGGCGACTCTTTTCTTCTCATTTTATACTCGAACCCTAGGACTTTAACTCAACTATACAACTTACCACTTGACTTTTAAAAACCCTTTTTCAACAATAGTTTTATCAAAAGATTGACAACATCTTTAATACCTAACACTTTTAACCAAAAATATATGAATAAAAAATGTGATAAAATCGTAACTTACTGGAGCAAAATACCGGTAGAGTTTCAAATTATCAAAACCAAGATATGCATATGAAAATATACACAAATTGCGACTTATTGAAACATAAAAATTAGGAGATGAAATGAAGAGAAATACGCAACTACAAATCTCCTTGGACGGATTTCGCCCCTACATCAATGATAACATGATCAAATTGACGTCTGTTTCCCAATATGCGACTCTTCTTCAACATTAATATAATTTTGTTGGGCGAACTAATGCTAGACTATATTCTTCTATAACGAAAGATATCGAATACTAAATATCTAACCCAAAACTTGAAAATAATTTTAAGCAAAAAAAAAAAAAACAAAGAAAGATTTGCAAATCCAGCGACCTTTTTTAGATAAAGAGTAGAAACGGATAAGCGAAAAATAATTGAATACCAGTTCCTTCATTTATTGATGTTAACTCTTTTAGTGAAATATTGGCATCGATTCACACAAGAAACCAAAATAATTTACAATTTTTATATATATGCAAATATTCACTTATCTATTTTTCAATCAAATTCAATTCCACAAATTTGAATTCTTAACAATTCACTGTTTCGTGCATCTTTCATGTTAGAAACACAAGTAAACGCAAATTCAGTTGACACAAATTAAATTTCATAATAATTCATTGTTTCATACATCTTTCATGTTAAAACCACAAGTAAACACAAATTGAATTTCATAGTAATTCATTGTTTCATACATCTTTCATGTTAGAAACAACATGTAAACGTATTATATCATGCTCTAATAATTTATTCATGCAATCCAAATTAGTAATCTTTATTTTCCACAAATTTTATATGTAAAATCAAATTTCATGTAAAATTCAGCAGAATAATCGTGCAAAAATACAAATTTTCCTTGTCATTTCTGATACGAAATCGGAAGATAAAAACGGAGAAAAAAAGAAAAAGGAATAAACTAGAAAAAAAACATATATAAATTAAGATCTATCTTAAGATTGTTTAATAAATTGGTGCATAAATATGTTCCTATTAACCAAAAAAGGTGAATTTAAAATACGATAAAATCGTGGCTTAATGATGTAAAATACCAAATTAAATTTCAAATATCGAAACCAAGATTTGTACATGAAAATATGCACAAATCATTGAAATGTAGAGATTAAAAGGAGATGAAATGAAGAGATATATACGACTACAAATTTTCTTAAAACATATTTCGATCTCGACGCTGATGCTAAGAGAATCAAATAGACGTATGTATCCCAAGATACTTTGAGTTTGTGTTTAATCTACATCTCATGAGCACCATCTTAGGGATTTCAAATGAATTGTCTAAGGCATTACAAAGAAAAGATCAGGATATTATAAATGACAAGAGTTTAATGTCGGTATGCAAACAGAGACACCAAGATATGAGGGACAATGAGTGAGATTCTTTTTTGGATGAAGTCACTTCTTTTTGTGAAAAGCATAATATTGATGTTCCTGATATGGATAATGTGTTTGTACGCCCAGGTCGCTCAAGGCGTAATACTGAAGAAATGACAAATTTTCATCGCTTCCGTGTGGATTTATATTATTCTGTCATTGATATGCAACTTCAAGAATTGAATGATCGTTTTTCTGAGGTAAGTACAGAGTTACTC